AGAGCGCTGCACTAGTATCGCAGAGGTCAGTGGTTCGAATCCCGTACAGGCCTGAAATTTTTTTCAGGTCTGATTTTCACTATTGCTCAAATAGTGCTTTACTGCGAAGGATCGTGCTCATATACGTCTCATAACCGCAGTTCACACATATGTTTCATATGTTTGTTGTTGTTTGATTTATCATCTACGGGTTTATGTAGAATTAATTTGATGGCCTGCTCTCAGTTGGCTTGTTAGCTCAATTGGTAAGAGCGCTGCACTAGTATCGCAGAGGTCAGTGGTTCGAATCCCGTACAGGCCTGAAATTTTTTTCAGGTCTGATTTTCACTATTGCTCAAATAGTGCTTTACTGCGAAGCATTTATGGACTATTATTAATGGTCGGTTGTGTAGCTATTACATACTGCTAAATTATCTGTGTTGGAATGAGAAGTTGATACCCATTTTATAATACTGCTTTGAAAGATAAACAGATTATGTTTTTCAGTAAAAGTCAAACTTAATGATATTATAAGTCTTCTTTATTCAAATCTGAGAAGAAGAATGGTAGGAATTTCCTGTAGCATCGTCTGCTCGAGTTTATCAATCGTATAGTTTTTTCCCGATAAACCTCACTTTCATAAAAACCAGTTTGATTTCTTTCGTCAGACGGTTGTCCAGTTAGCTTTGTCACGAAATTCTGATACTGGAACTTTCCACAAACTGGCTAAGGGACCGTCTACAACATTCTGTTAGGTGATGTTCTCAAGATGTATATTCAACTGTAGATTGATAATTTTGTAAGATTCTACAACGTTGTCGACAACGTTCTTTCATTTATCTTAAGACTCCGTCACCCGGTTGTATTAGTTTTTGTTGTCGGCAAAGACCAAAAGTTAAGAGAACTACCGATACTTATCGTAGTCCACTTTAGAATTATGTTTACAGTCAAGGGTTTCAAAGGAGACATGGCGACTGACATTTAAGTCAACAGTGGTCTTCAATTAATCTATTTTAGGACTCTGATGTTAAGGAGTCGCTCCCCTGGATGGTTACGTAACGAAAAATGGTTGAGTATACATGTACTATTTTGGTTTTATGACGCAGTTAAAAAAGACCTTAATCAATTCTGGTCCGGCAGATGGTTATCAAGCGCAGAGAAACCTGCTATACACTTCGTTACTTTCGCGTTTATCAATTCCATAAATTCTATTAATTTCATAAAGCTCTTTCTGGGAATATTTGAACGAAAGTATACTAAATATACTTCAATATCGCGCTTTTCAGTTTTCCCAAAACGTAAATTCTGTGAACATGTCCTTCCTTTACGGTTCTTTTGTCGTATGCCCAAAAATAGCACGTTGCCTCTTAATTTCCGCCTGATAGGTTTATTCGTGTTCTGTAGCCCTTCGGATGAATGAATATGAACGTCAGTGATCATCAAGAGCCAGTAATTGTAATAATAATAATAATGATAATAGTAATAACATTTACATAATGATGATAATAATAATAGTTAAATGCAAAAAGTATTTTAAATTAATATGAAATATAAATAAAATGACAAGGAAAAAGTACAGAAGAATTTTGTTATTTCTGAAGGAAGCGAGACTAAAATGCAAAATAAAAACATTGCTATTCTCTAATGGAGAGTTACTAGAAAGTAGCGAACTTTGGCTGAGAAATATGTTAATGCAGGTTTACGTCCTGTAATTGTTCTTTCTCAGCAGAAAAGGCCAAACTTGTTGGTTCATGACTAAGTTTTTATTTATAAGGCGACTCCTTTAAAAATTGTTCATTTGATTGTTGAGTTCAGGTGCTCAGGGTATGATTGTTTCATTTTAACTTCTGATCTGTTTCTGAATGGGAGCAAAATCACTTTTTCGAGTATCGTATCAGTTATGTCAGCATACTCCGGTGGGAAAAAGTGTGTCTATGAAAGTGCTGGCGCTTCTGACAGAAGGCTGCTTCTATTTTGAAAACTTTGTATATACCAGTGGTATGGAAAGTTGCCTCTCATTGGGGAGAAGGTGATAAACAAAGTTACCGTGGTATGCAAGCTTGTGCCAATGTGAAAGATCGCATTTGTCGCCCGATAATAAATGAACGAAGAACGGAGAGACCTTCCCTTCCCGGCAGTGCTGACAAATATTTTTGATATAAATAATAATTTGTATTTATATAGCGCTCATATCTTAAACTCGTGGCGCTTTACAACACTGTACGGGGGACTTTACCAGACTGCTAGGCAGTTTACAATCAAATGAAAGCGAATATAACAGATGCCCCCTCCCCCCTAATTCCAGTAACCAGGCCGGACCACATCACAGTAATCTCGTGAAGCGGGTTCTTTAACGTCCCCTGCCTAACCAAATTAACTAATTAATAGATGCAGGAGACGGGACCTCCATTTATTCGTCCCTATCCGAGAAGACTAGAATATCTAATCATTTCTTGATCGATGTTAAAGATGCATATTCTTCTCAATTTTTTAAAGATCCTGAGTGTTGGTCCGGCCGGGGCTCGAACCCTCGACCTCCCGTATCTGAAAGATCGTGCATGCAGCTGGCCATTAGCAAATCCTTACCCTGTATTGACCGTTTATGATTACATTTCTCTGTGCATTGTTTTTTGAAGTAACTATGGGGTTCTGTGCCGGGTTCAGTTAATGAACCAAATCACCAAGCTATTGNGATTCCCGGCTGGCGTGGTTACCTACAGGTGGGGATCATGTTCCCTAAGTATTTGTAGTAACCAGGCCGGACCACATCACAGTAATCTCGTGAAGCGGGTTCTTTAACGTCCCCTGCCTAACCAAATTAACTAATTAATAGATGCAGGAGACGGGACCTCCATTTATTCGTCCCTATCCGAGAAGACTAGAATATCTAATCATTTCTTGATCGATGTTAAAGATGCATATTCTTCTCAATTTTTTAAAGATCCTGAGTGTTGGTCCGGCCGGGGCTCGAACCCTCGACCTCCCGTATAACAGTCCGGCACTTAACCAATTGAGCTAACCGGGAGGCGGTAAATCGCATCCAAAAGAGGAATTTCGGAACAGTAAATACCAGCCACTGCCTCGGTTTTACGTTTCAGTGGGTTATACAATTTTGACACTACTCATTCGGTTTAATGTGCTGTTCATACACCGATGTGTTAACGACACGCAAAATTGTTGAAATCATAAATGGCATACCTTAGAAAAGATTTGTTTATCGTGATTGCCAGTTTAGCAAATGATTCTGTTCAATAGAAACAACACCACGAGATTGCAATTTAAGAATTAGCGGGCTAATGTATTTCCGAGAGTGAGATTGCAAATCCCATTAGGTTTTTTTTAAGGTATGATGTTAAAACATTGATATATAGATACGATGTTTTCCGTTACTCGCCGTAGACGAATAGTCTACTTCTGATAACGTAAAACTTGCCAGCTCAAAACATTAGATTCCCTCCATTTTGATCCTCGGTAACTCAAACATTTTCCCGCGGCCTTCGAGGGTTTGAATCATCGACGTGACTGCATTTGCTCCTTTGAAGGATACGACAAAACAGACAGTGGACCGCTAAGCCAAATTAACAAACAAGTTTTGTACTTCCTTTCCTCTTCGTCCCCTGGCTCCAAAACCATCTTCATTCTGAAATTGTGTCGCTAATTCCATTGTTCAGCTTAAGTTAACTCAAATAACTTCCATCATCAAATCGTTAAAACGTTGTAAGCACCCAACGGGCTCGCAGCGAACCCAATTTATTTAGGATTTATTTTAATTGATTTCCATAAATATTTATTTATCATTAATCTCTATGAATTATCAAAGATAAGTACAATTACAAAAACTTCGACAGCTATATCTGAATATCAGTTACAAAAATCCATAGCGGAATTGATCTTTTTAACAACATTCTCGATAAACGAATCACTAATTGCAATAAGAGTAGATTTTCTCTTAAGTTCAGTCGCGATTCATACAAATATCTCAAATAAAGAGCTTTTTCTACTCGGTATCATTGTGATCTCTTTTTATCAGTAACTGTTTAAACTTAACTTGAGAAATGAAGTTTTCTTTATTTACTTAACATTAAATATGTACATTAAAAAAATAATAATAAGATAATCCATTTATCATGACAAATATTTTTTTGGACTGAAAGTAAATTGTACGAATTACCCTGAAGGGCCTTTGACCTTTCTTGACTTTTGAATTCTTACCAAGACACTTTCAGTTCCTGAATAAAAAACACTGACATTATATTGACTCTTTTCATTAATTAAGCAGTAAAATAATTATTGGCATTTAAAACTAATCAAATACATTAAGTTCCTTATTTTTAATTTCTTATATTTTGTGCTCACAAATCTTTTGCTTGCAATCCTTCATCTTGCAGTTGCTAGTTATCTTAAACCTGTTATTGGCTCCTTTTAGGAGCTTTGTCGTGGAATTTATTTGTCAAATTACCTTTCAAAAGTATTAAATATCATGTTCCACACGATACAGCTTGTCTGATTACTAGCAACCTACATTTAGTAGTACTTATTCGTATCAGTAGTGCTAAATCTACCAGAGATTAAGCGAAAAATCACAGGTGTGCTAAACACAGAAAAAAAAATCAAAACTTATCTAAAATATTGCGAAAAGCCTGCCTCTTAAAAGGTGTGTTTAAACTGGAGCCTTTACTCATAAGCGACGTCCAGTTTTGTTGTAAGCATTAAGGAAGCTAAGTTACCTTAAGGGGTTGATTTCAGTCCCATAGAACCTTTTGATGTTTTTGAGTGTTAGCCTTAATATTACAAGCTGAGATATGGACAGCTCTGCTCTTGTTGGACCTCAAACATTTGTATTAAATAATTTTATCGTACAGCAAATGTAGGACCAAAAACTTACGTTATCAACGTAGTTTATGATTGAATACTGCTAGAAGAATTTGAACTGAGTTGGCTTCGTGTTGCAGACCAAAATTGTCCTTGTCGAAAATGAGAAGAGAATTAAATTTTTCAACCACTGATTTCGTTTCGTATTCTCATGGTCGTGAACGACCATCGTTGTATTTTTCCCTCCACATCATCAGTTCCAAGAGCGGTGTTTATATAGGACATAGCCATACGTGCATATCACACCGTATGCTTTTGTAACTCGATGGGAATGCTGTGGATAAATCTTTACATTTGCAAATGAAGTCCCTGTTCCCTTTTACTTCCAGTGAATAAAATCTTGCTTTATCAGTGGCACAGGTGACACCCATCACTTGCTTATCCTGTTAAAATAAAGAAATCATGTTTAATATCAGAGAGAAAGTAAAAACAGTACCTTGACTTGCAGATTCCCGGCTGGCGTGGTTACCTACAGGTGGGGATCATGTTCCCTAAGTATTTGTGTAAATGGGGAGAGATTTATAGGCCAACAGGAGTAAACACGGAAAGTTGCAAATATCAGCTTAATTGAAAGAGTTTATTTTTATTCTATTTAAATGACGGATATGCGAGGCCTTTGTAAATGTTTCCACTGTACCTGTGGCAATGTGACGAGGTTTTTGCTTTCACCACCACTGTAGCTGGCTGATGCAGGGGTCCCCTCGAAATATTTGTGTTCACACAGGCTGAGGTTTACGCCCTGCTGCTTGTCGCTAATAGCATCTAACCTTTTGATCTGAAATACAATAATGGGACACCAAGGCGTTGAAAACAAATTGAATCTTGAATAAAAAGAGCCCCAAGCAGATTTCTCCAGCAGAAAATACTAACAATTTATTCATAGTAGAATGTACTGATTGATACCTTATTGTCAGCTTTCTCATCGTTATCATAATTACTACTGACGAAAAAAACAAAAACAAATAGGCGCGCAAAACTGACCGTTCGAAAACAACATGAGGCTGGTGGTTTTTTACCCTTACTCGATACAACTGATCAGTCCTTTTGCTCGAGGAAACAAAAGCTCAATCATGTTAATGGTTGTTGGTCACCTAGACATGAATTCTTTTGATGAAAATTTATGAAAATCTAGAATTGTGCACACACCTTGTTGTTTAACGATACGTTCACTGCCGCCAAAGAGGCTCTCAAACGTTTGTGCAGAGAATGCAGTTGTTGCTGTGAGGCGTTTTGCGCGGTATCGATTGCTTGAAGTGATTTCATCAAGTTGTTCATCAGGGTATATCCTCTCTCAAGACTTGCTGCCCGGGTGCTGATGTTGCTATTGGTCTTCTTCAATTCTTGAACAGAAGACTCGATATTGGTAACATTGATCGCTAACCTTTCACTCATCCTCTTTGTTAGAATCTGATTTTGTCGAAGTTCATTTACACTAGATGATATCTTGGTATCTTTGCTATTCAGTTTCTCTACAGATTCGTTTAGTTGTTTGAATTCAGAATCCAGTTTTTTCTCAAAGGCATCGTGTGAGTTGCGCATCTTCACCCAAACACCATTCACAGTAGCAACCTGGTGGGTGAAAATATTTGTTAGAAGTGTCACTTACGATATTATATTAGTCGGAGACTAAATTATAAAAATTAGGCTGAATGTAACAGAATTGTTGACATCACACACCCTCGTGGCAGTCTTATTGACTTGTTCCCGAAGAACTTCAACCTGTAGGTAAAATGAAAATGAAAATTAGGCTTTTTACCAATCCCTCACACAAGCTCTATTTCAACGATGACTTTATTATGGCACACTTTGGTTTTCGCACTTCCTCATTTACGTTGAGGGCGAGGGGTTGTTCCTGAATGGAAACACTTTATTCTCCTTTATGTTTTATTCACATTTAAGGATCATCTTTCATTCAGTCAAGATAGTCTCGTAGGTAATGACACAAAGCCACATAAGGTAGGGACACTTTTCTTAACCAGTATCGCCTCACTAACCCCCTACTAAAATAAATAATATTGTACAGTAATTATGATAATAAGAATAAAAGAATGAAAGGTATTCAAACCTGACTCTCATGTTCTGTGACAAAACTTTTCAATGCATTATCTTTCACCCCCTGTAAAGACAAGAAAAACAAAATGTTGTTTCAGTTTAGTTAATGCCCTTTCTCCTACGCCTCTAATGTAAAACCCCTTGTGGTTAGCTGCTGGCCATCTGGACTGCAGACGAGATTTTTTTTTCCCACGGTCACAGTATCCGTCCACCGGCTGAGCTTTGAGTTTCTCTTCAGATAAAAGACATTTTGTTTGCTTTTCTTGAGTCAGCAATTTCGGCCGCCTCCTATGAGATTTCTTTTTTCAACAGTTGGTGATAACAATTTTCCTTCGGCTGAGTACAGGTTAAAAGGGATACAATAGAGGTTTTGCACAGCAGCCATGTTGGATGGCAGGAACAATGAAAGTATTTTGCATAAGGAAGAAAATTTTTTCCCATGCGTAAAATAATCTATTGTTCCTGCCA